TCAGCACTGTCCTCATTGTCTTCTGTCTTCCTTTTATATTTCCACAGCGTAAAGGTAAGTTCATACGAATTTATGAATGAACTACTCATTTAAGAAAAAAACTTCTTGGTCTACTGACATCCGCTTTGAACATTACAATGTACATAATAACTTTAGTTTACTCTACAGTAAATAAATCCACTTCACCAGCGAATTACTCAAACAGTGATGCTATAGAACTACGCAAAAACGCAAGTTCAAAGACAAAATCTTAAAAATGGCTGTGCACTTGTTTCTCTGAAACATAAGGTCTATAACAAAAAAAAATGTTTCTTAAAAACATTACATACCCAATCAATGTTTAGTTTTTTTCCTGAGAAGGTATTCAAACCTATGGCATATACTACGTTTATCCATGTAAATGTATGGTTAGAATAATCAGTAAAATGAACATGCCTAAAGTTCTGGTTATAGCGACTACCGTTGTGTAAGGCACTGGCAGAAAGTCGGTTAACGTTGCCACACATCTATGGCCCTATGGCACGATAGCTGCTACCCAATAAAGCTGCCGGCTTCCCCTGGGCTGCTAGTTCAATCCTCTAGTTGCTGGTTGCTTTCACACTATTTATTTAGTGTGACACATCTCCTTAAGAAAAAAACTTCTTGGTCTACTGACATCCGCTTTGAACATTACATGTAGATGATAACTTTAGTTTACTCTACAGTAAATAAATCCACTTCACCAGCGAATTACTCAAACAGTGATGCTATAGAACTACGCAAAAACGCAAGTTCAAAGACAAAATCTTAAAAATGGCTGTGCACTTGTTTCTCTGAAACATAAGGTCTATAACAAAAAAAAATGTTTCTTAAAAACATTACATACCCAATCAATGTTTAGTTTTTTTCCTGAGAAGGTATTCAAACCTATGGCATATACTACGTTTATCCATGTAAATGTATGGTTAGAATAATCAGTAAAATGAACATGCCTAAAGTTCTGGTTATAGCGACTACCGTTGTGTAAGGCACTGGCAGAAAGTCGGTTAACGTTGCCACACATCTATGGCCCTATGGCACGATAGCTGCTACCCAATAAAGCTGCCGGCTTCCCCTGGGCTGCTAGTTCAATCCTCTAGTTGCTGGTTGCTTTCACACTATTTATTTAGTGTGACACATCTCCAATTAAATTGTGCAGAGAGCTGCATCCCCCCCTCTCTCCTCCCCACAAACCCTCTATCATGAAGAGAGAAAGACAAAGAAGAGAGAAGGAGGGAAATATTCTGCCTTCCAGCGATGATTGCAGTCATTTCCCACTGTGGCAGCTCAGTCTTGCCCTGAGAGGTGCTCTGAATTATAATTGTGAGATGAACAGAAGCGGTGTTTTTCTATATGACAGCACAGTTAGTGAACACAGATAACATGACCTTATAAAATGTACACCTTAATCGATCAAGTTTATTTTGGTTGCTGTCTTATTTCTGCAATGCAGACTTCATTAAAGATCCTATATATAGTAATATAACTAATTCAATATGTCTCCCTTATTTACACACCTGATTTAAATAATAAGCCCTTCTACAGAGAACTTCATGAACTGAACTTGGTCTGTCAGATAAGGGAGACATACAAAATGTGCAGTGGTTTCCCTGGACCGGAGCCAAGAACCACTGCTCTAACATTTGCATTTTGATCCCGTTTTCTCCCAAATCACCCTGATGTTCCAGGATCCGACAGCCATAGGCATGCTTTTAGTTACAAGAAAACAGAAAGGATTAAAATTAATATTTAAATTGCCTGATTAATGGCCACCCATTAGCTCAACAATGGTATCCAGTGGTATGGCTGAAGGTTTTCTGTGCCAGTGGTTCCCAATAGCAAAGCATTTCCCATAATACTTGTTTGGAAGAGAGGCCACTTCCAACAGAATTGTGCCCTACTCCCTTCGAATGGCAGAGCCCTTGAAGTTAGTTCTCTGAAGGGTGTAGGGCATTACTGTAAACATTTGGAACGCCCTTGGCAAAGACACTGTTTGACCAAATGTGACTTTGACATCTGCGTGTGCATGCAGCATCCAGCACATCAGCCTGACTTCCATTTAAAGAGAAAAGCCTTAAATTATTTAATTTGTGACTTGTGCACAAGGAAAGACATCATGGTTGGGGAAAGACCACCGAATGACTGATCTTTCTTTTTTGGCTTGCCTGTGGAGAGTTGTAGCTAAAGCTTTAAGTGTGCCAATGACAACTGCACACAGGGCATGTGACCCAGTCTGTAATGCACTAATAACACATCTTTCAGCCATCATCTGAAGGCCCATTCAGAAGCTGGAGGAGATTGGTGAAGGTTTTGAGAGGTTGAGCAGGCATGCTGCTTTTAGGAGGCCAGTAGGAGCTATCAATGGCTGCCACATTAGTATAAGAGCTCCAGTTTTAGGTCAGTGCTGCTACTACAACAGGAGACTTTACCCACCAATCACCCTCCAGGCAATCTGTGACCACAATGCAAAGTTTTTGGATATTTTTGTTGGTTTCCTGGGGTCCGTGCATGACTCCAGGGTCTTAAAAAACTGTCATGTCTACAAATAGCGTCCTCTTCCTGAAGAGCCTTTCAAGGGCGTTTGGAATTCACCCATGATATCCATTTGTCAAATGATTATAAGGATAGTTGTGTGAAGTGTATTATTTGCCATATTTGTAAGATTAATGGACATGTTCTGGCTTATATCAGACATGAAAAAGTTGTGGTTGCAACAGAGCGATTGTCACCGGACGTTCATAAACAGGATAGTATGGAAGCTTGAAAAAGAGATTTTAAAGATCCCAAGAGACAGTAAGAAATAATGCCTAATAAGTTTGTCAACCCTTTCCTTCTGTGTGTGCATGATTTCTCTTTATCTGTGTCCCAATTCAAAGGCTGCATCCTTCGAAGGCCGCAAAGGCGGGACCGAGTGTTGTTAAATGGGACGGTCTAGCCTACCGAGGACTGTTCTTGTCGTATAGGAACTGTTACAGCTGCCTTTGACAAGCAGCAGTAAGGTGCCTAATAAGTTTGTCAACCCTTTCCTTTTGTGTGTGCATGATTTCTCTTTATCTGTGTCCCAATTCAAAGGCTGCATCCTTCGAAGGCCACTAAGGTTGGACCGAGTGTTGTTAAATGGGACGGTCTAGCCTACCGAGGACTGTTCTTGTCGTATAGGAACTGTTACAGCTGCCTTTGACAAGCAGCAGTAAGGTTTGTACTGGACTTTTTTTAAACATTATATTCAACTGCCTAAAAATAAAACAGAGTTCAAAGACTGCCTAAATATGTTCATCAGGGTCCATTTATGTACAAAATAAAGGGTATAAACTATATAAAATCGCATTTTGGTAGGATATCAGTCAACATTTGAACAGCTTTATATATATGTATATATATATTTTTTTATTTTTACATTTGTATCATACATTTGATTATTCGAGTAAGTAGAACCCAGTACTTACATTTAAAAGTGTAATCCGGCAATTTCTCTCCAAAAAATCCTGTCATCACTGGCGCGCAATGAATTCTGGGGTAGATAGGCCACGAAGGGTCCATCTGTTGTAATCTTCATTGCACGGGAAACGAAGGGTGCATTTCAAGGCCACATTTAAAGGAGCCTTCGAATCGTGACAGCCTTCGGTCGCACCGCGATGACGCAATCGCCCTTTGAATGCAGCCTTTGAATTGGGACGCAGCTTTTGAGTCAAATAAGGGAGTCTGACAAAGGCCTCTTTAACTGGAAATCTGGCCAAGTGCGAGTTTGTTAAGGCTACGGTCACCTACCTTGGGCAAAGTAGTGGAAAATGGACAGCTTTGTCCAATTGAAACAAAAATTTTGTTCATTTGGGTGTTTCCAGTTCTTACCAGTTGCAGGGAGTCACGCAGATTCCTGGGAATGGCTGGACACTATTGTGGGTTTTGTCCAAATTTTGCATCAACTGTTGCACCTTTGACTGAGCTTATTAGTATCAAAGTACCTTTAGAGTGAGCTGATATTTCTCAGCAGGCATGTGATGGAGACAAGGCCTTGTTGGCTGTGTAGCTGTGCTTATTGCACAGGATGGAGTAGAGCAGGGGTGCCCAATCCTGTTCCTGGAGATCTACCTACCTGCTTAATTAGTTGGTTCAGTTGTGTTTGATCAGGGAGTATCATACATTTGATTATTCGAGTAAGCAGAACCCAGTACTTACATTTAAAAGTGTAATCCGGCAATTTCTCTCCAAAAAATCCTGTCATCACTGGCGTGCAATGAATTCTGGGGTAGATAGGCCGCGAAGGGTCCATCTGTTGTAATCTTCATTGCACGGGAAACGAAGGGTGCATTTCAAGGCCACATTTAAAGGAGCCTTCGAATCGTGACAGCCTTCGGTCGCACCGCGATGACGCAATCGCCCTTTGAATGCAGCCTTTGAATTGGGACGCAGCTTTTGAGTCAAATAAGGGAGTCTGACAAAGGCCTCTTTAACTGGAAATCTGGCCAAGTGCGAGTTTGTTAAGGCTACGGTCACCTACCTTGGGCAAAGTAGTGGAAAATGGACAGCTTTGTCCAATTGAAACAAAAATTTTGTTCATTTGGGTGTTTCCAGTTCTTACCAGTTGCAGGGAGTCACGCAGATTCCTGGGAATGGCTGGACACTATTGTGGGTTTTGTCCAAATTTTGCATCAACTGTTGCACCTTTGACTGAGCTTATTAGTATCAAAGTACCTTTAGAGTGAGCCGATATTTCTCAGCAGGCATGTGATGGAGACAAGGCCTTGTTGGCTGTGTAGCTGTGCTTATTGCACAGGATGGAGTAGAGCAGGGGTGCCCAATCCTGTTCCTGGAGATCTACCTACCTGCTTAATTAGTTGGTTCAGTTGTGTTTGATCAGGGATGGAGCTGAACTTCGCAAGAAGGTAGAGCATCCCCAGTCCCTCTACAAGATACTTGCTTCTTTGATACCAAGTTTGAGAACTTCAATAAGACTCTCCAGTCCATGATTCACTACAAACCACTACAGTACCAGAACAGTTTAATCAAATTTCAGCAAGACATACATGTCATTTTAAAATGGAATGTCCCACCTTTAAAAACAATAGAAAACAAATATTCAATACAGTCAATAAGCACACGGGACGACACTTTGAGCTACCGTTCAACACCTGGGCTCAATCTGAGCTCTATTTGATAAAGCATAAAATACATTTATACATCATAGCATAGTTTTGAACCTGAAATGTAAAACTATTTTCCACCTCTCCACTAGCCTTCATTCGCACCTCAGCGTTATTGCTTCTCTGACATTTGCAGGAGAGGAGAAAAAAACAACAACAACAACAACGCACAATGAACTTTATTACAAAAACAAAACACGTTCCACTGCTGTGTGTGTTTATGTATTTTCACTGATTTCGTAAGTTGCTGTGAATAAGGCAGCTGTTTAAGGCATTGCTGCTGTGAAATTGTTTCTCTGTTAAACTCAAAAATGCACGTATGAGTTGACAGGAAATGCTTAAAATGTGTACGCTTTCTCATTTTTGTCAAGTGAGTTTTATAGTCGTTTCACGATTAGATCACCTGTGCTGAGAATCGAGCCGATCGGTTTGTTCAAATGCTTGTGGCCGAATGAAGAGTTCAGTCTACATTAGCAGGGAAGATTCATCTCTTCATAGGTGATGCGTAGAGATTTTGAGAGCACAGTAGCCCTTCATCAGATCACACACAGCTCCAAATTAGAAATGCTAGGGCGGGAAGTCAAATGCTCGTCATCTACTGCTGGTAGTTGCCATACTGCCCCTGTGAAGAAAGATACGACGTGACCGTAGGCCTGTGCTACAACACAGCTAGTTTGACAGACTCAGCAACTGACATTGCATTACTGAACGTTAAAAGAGTCATGTGTCACACTCGGAAACATTGGTGTCTTTAAAGATGGAAATATTACGGGTTAAAAGTACGGATTTAATTGTCTCATTTAATGATTCCAAGACAGTGAGAAAGAAGTGTTTGAAAAGGAGCTGATGAGTACAGTCACAATGATTTCTGCAGGTTTTATGAAGTCAAATTTATGACTTTTAAAGACCTTTTTGAGACCAAGTAAAGAAAACGTAAGGAATAAATTGAATGTAACACCAATATGTGACCCTGGACCACAAAACCAGTCATAAGGGTCAAATTGAAGCTGAATAAATAAGCTTTCCATTGATGTATGGTTTGTTAGGACAATATTTGGCCGAGATACAACTATTTGAAAATCTGGAATCTGAGGGTGCAAAAAAATCAAAATACTGAGAAAATCATCTTTAAAGTTGTTCATTTGAAAATGGAATTTTCGAAAATCTCTAGTTAGTTTTTAATTAATTTAAAAAATAAATAAATAAAAAGAACTATCCACAGCAAATATCTAAAGATTCTTAAACATACATTTTCTTGGGAAGCAAAATGCCACAAGAAGTCTTGTTTTACTGTATGAGAAATTGATCAAAATAAAGTCAGTCTGATTAAAACAAGAACAAATATCTGCCAATGGGCTCAGGAAAACCAACTTGATTCAAAGGTAAACCAAGTTCTAATTCTCCATTGACAGATGTTCATTCTTGTTTGAAGCATAAACTCACTCAATTTTGTTTAATTTCTCAGAACACAAAACTTCGTATGTTCAAGTAAATGTATCTTGGATTTAAGGATGTTTAGATATTTGTCTTGGAAAACGAGACAAAATTACGGAGGAAGAGTCTTTTTTTGTAGTGCATGCAACATTTAATGCCTTAATTTAATTTTTGGAAGGGCGAATTAAGACTTTTTAAGACCCGCAGAAACCCTGTCAGAGACACTGTGAACACCTTAACTAAAGGTTATTAACTAAAGTATTTATAAAGAAAGATTTCGGCAATGCTCTGCTGTGACGGGAGGGTTTCTGACCTGGTCAAAAGCATAGGGGCGCTGCGGCTGTCCCTGCGGGGGTCCGGGCTGTGGCGGTCTGTAGGCCGAATACTGCTGCCCTTGACTCTGGGGATAGTTCGGGTACTGACTTGGAGCGCCCTGAGACGGAGCTGTTGATATAAAAGAAAGGGTGTTTTTTTTTCTCTCTCTCCGTATTCTTACTATGAATGTAGACTGTTAACGGATTAAGCAAACCGCTGACCTTCACAATTTGTTCAGATAATTTCATGTTATGTCATGTCTTATGTCCTTTTTCCAATTTTTTCTTTATCATTCACAGCATGTGCAGAAAAATGTCCTCTCTCAAGACAAGTAAAGCATGGTATGCCATCCATTCTTCATTATTCTCTATTCTGCATTAATTTACTTTCCAGTCGAAGTCTGTGTTTAGCACTACACAATGACCGGGAAAACAAAGATTGAAGGTTAAACAAAGATAAAAAAAAAGTTTTTTAAAGTGATCAAGGCTTCTGCTTCTCTTGATTCATTAAGCATCATCTGGTTATTCATCCTGAAAACATTTCATTTTAATTGAAACAGCTCTGACGAGATGAAAACACCATGTAAGTTGGAGTTAAGTAGTCTTTATTGAGATTTTTTGCTCAAATAAAAGTGTAATAGAATCAGTCTGTCCTCTTTCATGTGCTCGATTGTGCCATTTGCTGCGACTAAATCTGTGAGCAAACCATGCAAGTTGATGTTTTTCTTGATTTGTGCTTGATGTGAAAATGCAATAATTCTGTTTTTTTTGTTTTTTTTTACTATAACCGTGATATTTTATAAAAGAAACCTTAATATTTGTCAGGTTTAACAACAACTACATCTGTTCATCTTCATTACACGTTCTGACCAGTGTGTTAAAAATATGACTGTCTGCAAACATTAACATTTCTGGAGCCACATTAATCAATAGAGTCTTCTGATGTCTCAGACATGAATCTGTGGGTATGATTCATACCATAGGCCTGCTGCTGTCCAGGGTAAGCCTGCTGTCCTGTGTACTGCTGCTGCGGTGGGTAACCCTGCTGCTGCGGTGGACCCTGCTGATACGCCTCTTGCTGCTGACCATACTGTGCATTTCCTACAGGAAGAGGACCAAAGGATTCACGAAGCATCAGCAAAGCTACCCGCTAAGTAAACAGGAACTCCTGCTAAGAGTGTCTGCGTCACACTGTTTATCCTCATGCTACAGCCTGCCTGGTGTCCTCCTGCACTACTACACTCAGGCTGAGAGGACGGGGATGGGAGAGTAACGCTGAAGCAGTTCAGCTATCGGTTGTGCAGAGAAACCATCTGAATTTTAATGATCCTCTGAGCTTCTGCTGCTGATACGGAGTGAATGAACTTTAGTTTTATTTGAATTTTGTGATAAAATTGACAAAACCTGAAGACTAAGACTTCAAAAACTAAAAGAAAAATCACAAACCTTATTGCAATTATTGGATGGCAGGTGTGCTACAAATAATGTTTAGTAATGTGTTGTTCACACATCAATAGAAAATAGCACAGAGTAAAAGGTCGATCTTTATTGGTTCAACAAAGTGACAATGAACCAAAACCAATTCATCAGTATTATCAACCCAGCCCTACACACTGTACATATTCATGAGAAGCTCATTTCAGCATACATTTGCGTAAAATATATATAATCTTTTTTTTTTGGTTTGATTTTGAGGTGGAGTGACTTTTTATTAGGAAGGGGAGCTTTGTGAATAGGTTTTAAGAAATGAATACAAATTTATCTGAGTTAGGACAAACATAAAAAATGAGTGATTGATTTTTTTTATAATTTAGCACCATACAGCTACCGCGGCTATATTTATTGCGAGAAACAAGACAAAAATAGAAAAAGTAAATAAAAAAAACAAACTATATAAAACAACAAAGCAAATAAAAGGTTTTTGAATTTTTTTCTTTGATTAAGAAATCTAAAACTAAATCTGGTCTCACTTCATTAAAAATCTTTTCATAAGAATCAACTAGAGGAGTTTAACAAACACTTGTGGGTTAGTCTGAAGTAGGCATGGGACGATAACCGGTTTCAAGGTATACTGCGGTTTGGAAAAGTCACGGTTTCAAAACCACTAAAATTTCCCGTTATACCGTTCCTGCGGTATGCACAGTTTTTTTTACGTGTCATCAAAGCAATCTATATATCTGTGTCATCATTTCACCCCCGATCAAGACAGAGACCCACCCGCCGTTTGTTTCAGTGTTGAAATAAATACTATTTGGCTCGCTACCGAGGCAGATAACATGGCTAATTAACTAGCTAACCTCAACTAGTTTCCTCCCTCACGTTACTTCACAGAGCGAGGAATAGCAGACTAATGTACTACCTTTCTGCGATTTAGTACAGTAATTAAATTTAGCTGGTATCACGTCAATACTTTGAAGCCTCCTGCCATTGTTTACATCTGTTCAAAAACACATTTAAAAAACAAACAAACTGCTGGTTCTCAGGTGTCTTTGCCACTGTTTGAGTGTTGTACGGAGAAAGACTGTGTGTGTGTGTGGGTCTGTGTGTGTGACACACACTCACGCTCTCTCTTTCCTTATGTGTATGTGCACACATCCTCTTACCTCACCGCTCCAAACTTAATCCAGGAAAGGTGAACATTCCTGCATCATAACTTGGACTGAAAGATGAATGTGTAGAAAGTGAGCATGTCTCCAAAAACCTTGTTGAGCTGCAGGTTTAATGACTGCCTTTTTTTATTGATTTATTTTTTTTACAGAAATTTTGTTTTTGATTATTGAGCTGCAGCTTTAGGCTCACTTAAGTGACTGCATTTTTTCATTTAGAAGGATTTTTTTTTTTTTTTACAGGAAAGAAAAGATGTTCTGATTATTGTTGAGCTGCAGGTTTAGGCTCACTTAAGTGAATGCA